TCTGCGAGTTTAGTGCAAAAACGCATGATCGCACCGGAGAGCCTGGTGCGTTCCAGCCTGGGTTGTTTTTAGGACCTCTCTACCAGTAGTTTTGTTTTTAGGACCTCACACCCTGTCCAAGTACCACTTAGTTGTACAGCTAATTTCCCAAACTTTGAGGATTGGTTTATCATAAATTCTAGTTTCTGGGATTCCAAATGATCTTATTTCAGCGCGAAATATTACAAAGCTAATGATTGCACGGGCCCGCTCGCTGCGCGTTGCCAGTGATCCTTTATGTAGAATGTGTGGCTACTTTCGCCAATGGGTAGAAGTTTCGGTACGGCATCTCCATAAGTTCGTTAATGCCAAATTACACCTCCAAGCGCTTTTGAATTTATGGTTCAACAAGAAGATGTTACTGCTGGTCGTTGGTCGATATATTCTTGGCGCATTTGTTAGTATTTGCATATGTATGAATGCAACATGCATATATGTATGTCTATGCATTCACATATATGCGTGTATTTGCGCAAGTATGTGTTAATATGCGTGCATGCGCACGCATTTTTTCCCCAAAGGTTTTGTTTTTTATCGTATTCGTTCTAAATTTTTGAAATTGGTGCGCATCTTGGCCACAAGTTAAAACAAAAAGCAACTTGAAACCCATTTCCAATCGCATAAATGGTCAGAAACCCATACCTGGAAATCTAGGTTGTATCTCTTTGGTTATTAAATGATGGAGTTTCTGTGAAATGGAAAATGAAATCGAGGTTCAGGAGAAAGGATGAACTGAGATTTGGATTCATCTTGGGAGGATGAGAAAATGATTTGACTAGAGAATAAGGACTGCTCGGGCTTAAGGATGCAACCTTCACTGCAATCCAAGCATATCTGCACCAAGTCCATGTCTTTCTCGTATTTGTGTTTAGTCATCACCTACTGGTAGAGCTAACAGAATCTAACCCAGATAAATTGTGGAGTGCTGAAATGTGATTTTTCGACAAGTAAATTGTATTTGTTAGGCATATGCACTTTGACAGAGCTGCATTTGCTGAAATCACTAGTTGTATCCAAGCACCATTACGAGTTTTTGTTTTCCGAATGATCTAAATAAAGAAGCAGCATTTCGGAAACTTTTCGCATACACTCCACATTGCGATTCCCGAATCCTTGCAGTTAAGCAAAAAACGTAATTACGAACTTGTTTTATTGAAATCATTATCATTTTGGACAAAGAGACTATGATATGAGATCGAATGAAAAGCCTGGAACGCAGAATGCTGCTAGGAGATTGCGAGCAAGCATTTGCGCGGTAGTGCATTAATTGATCACACCGTTATGTAGTATAAGCCACGGACATGTCTGGACAACGAAAGCGCTATGCAGATGCCGATCAACTGAAATTGTTTTCATTTATCGTTCAACTGGCATAAAACTTCAATCGTGCAGAATTTCGAACTGAATTACTTCAAATGAGCCTAGATCTTTGAAAATACCGTAACCTGACATGTAGCAAATGATAAGCCAAATGACACAAAAATGATCGTTTGAACCGTCAACCAATCCATCAGTTTCTCATGGCAACCCTGAAAAATAGCGAAAAATTGAAAATGAAGAGGCAACTTAACGTGTCAGCCAAAAAATAATACATATTGTCGGCGACGCCATGATATTCCGGGATGCTACTCGGAAGTTGCAGATGTGACTGAAATGCAGTTAGTATTAAGCACAGTTACGACAGGACTTCGTCTTCTGACTGATTCTTACTAATCATTTTGCTACGTAAACGTATCATATCTTGAGCAGTCGCCCGAGTGGTAATTTTCTGCTCTTCTGGTACTGTTCAGTGATATGCAACCGTCAGTCACGGACTAACGAGTGAACACGTCCCCCTCGACCTTGCTTCCTCTCTCGACCGCAGTCAGTACCCAGTACACTACTCGTATGCATGCGCTCTAATGACTGCCGAGGCATTCTTCCTCGTTTCATTGCTTTTTTCATCGCAGCCAGCGCATCTTAGCTCCGCTTCAATCAGTGGCCGAGAGACATTTCTTCCAGCAGAATGAATTTAAACTGAGAATTATCATGTTTTTTCAAATTCAGTTTTTGAGAACGTTGGTGTTACGGCAGAGTTCGCACCATTGACAGCAGTTCTGTGCAGTTCCTTCAGCAGCGGATCGTGGCACGTATTCATTTTTTTGTCAAATTATCGACTTCGAGTCTGCTTTATTCGCGCGCAGGCTCATTCTGAACAACATCCCGAGATTGCATACTTTTTTCGTGCCCTCTCTGAGAATGACTTTCTCACTTCGTATGTTGAAAACAACAAAAGGTTGCATCATTTCTTGTCGACAGCGAACCACAAAGTGCCAACTTTTATGCACAGAACCAAACGCATACGGGATAGTTCTGGAATTACACAACTCGATACCAAACCCTTTTTTGTAATTATGACAAATTTGAACAGGTAAAACATGTTGCAAGTTGAGATATACCTTAAGGACTGAAAGTATGAAAGGATGTCGTCTAATT